TTATACACGCTGCTGCTATGTGGGTTTTTGAAAATTTCCCAAAAGTTGTTCCTCTCTGCCTTTTTTGTGCTGTTAATTCAGCAGTAACAGATGTCTAGCCCTGGGTGTTACAATGGTGCCATGCTTAACTGGGCCACTACTTTGGTTCCAGGGTCAACAATCAGTTGGCTAAAGCTGTTCCATAAGAATCACGCTAACAATATGCTCTGCTTTGTGCTGATCAATGGCATGTTGTCTTGCCAAGACACTTTTGCTTTCTTTCTATACTGCCAGTGCCAGAATGCACCACTGAGAAGAATATGTTGCTTTTAGAATTTGCTACTTTTCACGGCCTAATTGCTGCTGGCGCATCTTTGGGAACCTTTTCATGCTAAATAGTGCCACTGTTTCACCTTTTTCATTCCAAAGAGATAGATATGGATTCAGTTCAATTTTTTTTTTCATTTTTTAAAATACTTATTTCAAACTGATGTTGACTTTCTGCTGCTAATTCTACATTTCTAGAACTGAATTTAAGCCACATCAGAGCTGTGTCTTATTTAAGGTCAGAATCCACTTTATAAAAGCTGCAGGACCAACACCAATCTGTAGCTTGGGCACCAAAAAAAATCACTGTTTCTTACTATGGGGATAAGCTATAGCAAATTTCCGGTGCACAAAATCCCATTCCTCCTCCTTTGGGTGTGGACTATCTGCCAATTTTGTACAAGCTGCTGTTTACTTTCTAGTTAGTGAACAGACTATTCATCACAGTCCACAGAGTTCAGATTTCCCATAAACAGATTTGTTTAAAATTAGAAGCAAAACTTTCTGATCTTGTGAATAAGGAAAGAGGTTGTTCATGAAGCCAAGGCTTGTTGCTGATGTTTTATATGGTAGAAAATGTTGGTTCAGGTTGCTCCCTGTTTCCCTCCTCTTACTAGCAGGGCATCCATCCCCATGGGAGCAAGATCACCGTGGCATGTGCAGCCTCTTCTGTGAAGCTGGGACTAGTTGCAGGATGGGACAACTGTGCTGAGCTTTGGGATAGCTCCTAAATTGGAATAGACATTAGTGGGCAAAAGAGGCATGTCATTTTGCCTTTAATGAAAATGTAGGGAAGTCCATTGCTTGGGGAAAGGCCTATCAGGTGTAGAAGAAGCCCCTGTTTGCTTTTCCTGATGTCAGCAGCATGCGATGACTGGGATTTTTCTTGGCTCCTGGCAGTGTTGCTGGAGTGTGTATTTCCAAGCAGACGGCATCTCTTCCGGCTGGGGGAAATGAAAATATCTGATGCCTCTGAGGTCTGTTTCCTGGGTTTCCCTGTCCCTTTGTAGAGCCAACAATTTTTACACTTCCCTTTTCAGCTATTCTATGTGAGCTACAGTTTTTAAAAAGAAGCTTCAGTGTTGGCATGTTTTATATTTATTTCAGATAAATATCATATGTTAAAGAAAGGGACTTTTTGGCAAGCAGAAAGCTCTGTATTTGTTTGCCAATATGTATGTGGTAGATGCTAAGCAGTCTTGTCCCTGTGCTGTTGATTGTACAGTATGCTCAAGATGGTTGGGGAAAACAGTTGTTCCTTGTTGCACATAGAGAGTTTATGGGATTGTTGTTGTTCTTATTCAATGGGCTTCATTCAGACAGCTAAGAAAAGAATAAGAGCGAGGCAAAAGGAATATCACAAAATAGCAAATCATTGCTGAAGAGTTATGGTTATGCCCATGCTCCATAATGCATCCATGGAGTCTTTCAGTGCAGCTGGATCAGGAGTTTGCATTCTCCTAATTTAAAATAACTCAAGTGTTGCATGTTGGGACACCTTCCTTTGCATGCTGTGTTATGCTGGGGAAGAAGTCAGGATGGCCTGGGACCAGCAGCTGCTGTGTGTGTACCGCTCAAGAACACCTAGTCTGGAAAGGCCAGCTGCTCAGTCTGGACAGAATGGTCATCATGATTCAGTATCTCACTCTAGAAACATTTTAAGAAGTCCTTCCCAAAACAGGGCAGGTACTGGAGAATAAATAAAGGAAAATTGTTGAAATGTTTTTCAGCAGAGGAAATTATATGTGTAGTGGGAGTGAAAACCTTCCTCTACTCTAATTCATCAGAAAGCAGGGGATATAAGATTTCCCTAAAGTGATATAATCAATTTTCTTTGAAGAGACAGAACAAGTTACTATGACACTAGTAGCCTCTGCATATCCTGAGTGCACTGATTGTCCTAATTGCAGGATGAATAATAATAATAATAGTAACAACAACAACAACCCTAACCTGCCACACAACACCCCAGACTTAACAATAGTTAATAAGAAAGACAAAAAAGTCTGGATAGTGGACACTGCAATACCTGGAGACAGCAGAATAGAAAAGAACTAGAGAAAATCACAAAATATAAAGACCTACAAATAGAAGTAGAATGACAATGGCAAAAGAAGGCAAAGATAGTACCAATAGTAATAGATGCCTTAGGTGCAATCCCAAAACATCTGGAGCACCATTTGCAGACCATCAGCATTGACAAAATCACCACCAGTCAATTGCAAAAGGCAGCTTTACTTGAAACAGCTTACATCCTGCGACAATACCATCAAACAACACTGGGAAGGACTCGATAGGTGGATAAAAATGCCAAGTTCAGTCTAAACATCTGGCTGACTGTGCAACCAACCATGGTAATAATAGTAGCTTCATAAACCTACCTCTGTCTGATGGTTTCTTCTACCTTTTGGGAGATCAGATAGGTATTTGCTGTATAAAGGTGTTCCTTTTCTCTCTTTGAAAGCTGCTCATCACCGAAAATATTTCCTATACTGATGAAAGATACTGGACATTTAATAAATGCCAGGTCATTAATCCTTTAATTTCTAAGTGTGTACTGTACTGCTTGGATATATTTCAGTCCCAGGTAAGCAGCGTTTGTAAGTCATACTTTTTAAACAATTATTTTATCTGAAAAGAATAATTTTGAAAAATAGGAGTTTCTAGATAGTAAAAAAATAGAGGTTGACTAAATACGGATCAAGCCCCAGAGGTTACTACTATTTTCAGAGATGAACAATTCTCCAGTGAGCATGTGAACATTATAGATTTATAATTATTGATTACACTTTTGTAGCATGTATTGCAATGAGATTGAAATAAAAGAACAAATTTGATTTTCAAAAACCAGATCCAGTTGCTCTAGAAATGTTTGTCCTGCATATACATATCAAAAAACCATATAGATCCCCTTTACTGTAATGTAGTTAATTGCATGGCAATCCTATTAATAGTCAGATAATTAGGGCTAGTTTATCATTTGGATGGGTAGGGCTTCTTAAATCTGCGAAAGTATTCATTCCTTTCTGTTAACTAGTACCCTCTACATATCCTGAGCATGCTGATTGTCCTAATTGCAGGATGAATCCTCCTCCTCCTCCTCCTCCTCCTCCTCAGGAAAATACAATTATCCAAAAATGGAGGCATAACTAAGTTAAAGTAACATCCACTGGATGCTTTTTGCCATTTATCTGTGTATGAGTGTAAGATAATTTTTGTTAATTCTGAACATCTGGTTAGTTTAGATTTGGATACACTGGTACATCCTGTGAAACTTTGGTGTGGTTTCCCCTCCAGATATTCAATTTTAATTATGTTTATTAACATTTGTTTCGATTTTTTAAAGTCAGTCTAAATGAGATATGCTCCAGTTATAATTTAAGTGTGTGTTTGGGATGTACTATTAGATCTTATGAGCATGAAACTGAGCAAACTCAGGGAGGCAGTGAAGGATAGGAAGGCCTGGCGCAATATGGTTCATGGGGTCACGAAGAGTCAGACATGACTTAACGATTGAACAACAACAACAACAAATTAGATCTTAAAATGAAGCAGTGTGAAACATTTGTGTGTATGTTTAACACATATTACAGAATTACTATTAGATCTTATGAGCATGAAACTGAGGAAACTCAGGGAGGCAGTGAAGGATAGGAAGGCCTGGCGCAATATGGTTCATGGGGTCACGAAGAGTCAGACATGACTTAACGATTGAACAACAACAACAACAAATTAGATCTTAAAATGAAGCAGTGTGAAACATTTGTGTGTATGTTTAACACATATTACAGAATATGATCTGAATGATGCAAACTGTGTTGTCACTTTCTCAGGTACCTTTAAGAGATGTGAAGTAATGGGGATTGATGCATGTGTTGACAGGATCCCATGGGTAGTAAAGGATCCAGTGTGTAGTAAAGCTTTTAGTAAAGCTAAATAGCAGCTCATGTCAAGAGAGAGGCCAGATAGGACATGTGGTAGTTATACACTGAAATGAAATTGCCCAAATCTCTTTCGCACACTGTACGGACTTTGCCTTCTATTTGTATGTTCTATTATAGACCCTTCCTTTGAATAGATGTAAACACCTTTGAATACTTTGCATGGGTATAAGTTACAGATACACCAATTCCTTTTCCTGAGATGCCAAAATGCCTGCAAAGAAGCCACAAAATGCTCAATAGATACTAGATACCAGAGAATGGCTCTGTTAGGAAATGGTTCCTCACCAAGGTGGGGCAGAAATCCTTCAAACATCAGACTCTGCAATGAAATAGTTCTATTTTTGGCCCTGGAGCTATCCTTGGTCCTGTATAATGTGTACCATTAACATTTTGATTTAAAATCTATTCCAGTTGCTGGTTTGGGCTGCCTATTGTGGTCTATCTGTCATTTTGTTGATCATTGAGATCTTCAGACAGCAGCTGAGAAAGGACATCTGCAAACATAGATTTTAGGGGTTCACTTTACAAGTATACTTGCCTTATAGTGTTATTATTTTGTCCTGAATTTCCAAATTTCAGTATATGTTAAAGGTTGTACAATATTATCTTCTACATAAAATCAAGACTCCTGTGTGACCATATGTGTCAAGCATATTATAAAAGCCATTGTTTTCCCTACCTGTCCCATCTGATGTTCTGGTTGGGAAGAGCTAAGCAGAACTAATTTCAAATGCCTTTTTTGATTTATAGATATGGTAGCCAATGCTTCAGGCCCTTTGCTAGTGGAAATTGCAAAGGCTCCTGGTTCTGCCCTAGGAATCACACTAGCAATGAACACCCATCGGAATAAACAGGTCATAGTCATTGACAAGATCAAGCCGGCTAGTGTGGTGGACAGGTAAGAGGCTGAACTGTGATTATGTTCTCCCAGGTTTGTTTGGTTTAAATTTTACTTCTGTTTGAAATGTTTTTCCTCTGGTGAAATCTGGGATGTTTGAAAAAAACAGCCACTGCATTAATGCTACTCTGCACAAACTACATTTTCTATGTAAGGGAGGATCTTTGTTTATTTATTTGATTTTTGTCCTGCCTTTAATTTTGGTCAACTCAAGGTAGCATGGATACCTAATGGACCTACCTCCTATTTTCCCCAGTGAAGTTGGGCTGAGAGAGAGTGACTGGCCCAAAGTCACCCAGCCAGCTTTCATGCCTGTACGGGTGAAAACTTCAGGGATATAATGCAAGGCTTTGAGGAACTGAGTTTATCTTGGGCACATCTGATGGATTCCCTGATGTGGGAAAGTTGTCACTTCCATACTAGTATTTCCCTTCTCAGTTCATCCAAAGAAATGGCAACACTCAAACTAGCTTCTCATAGACCCATGATATATATTCCAGACTATTCCAAGAGAGGAACTTTGGAAACCATTTCTATAAGTACTGTAAAATATCTTTAAAAAAAAAACCAAAAAAAAAACCCTGATAATATTGTTGGGAACACAGTATATCACTTGTTCAATGTTAACTAAAGTTGGTTTATCAGAAATAAATTGGACCCTGTTAAATTTGCAATATGATGCTGAACTTTCAATGTGAACATTTATAGATTAATTTGTTCTCTGAGATCTTATCTGTTGCATAGAAAGGTAACTTCACACTATTCCCTTTTGTGGCAAGCCACGTAAATGCAGAAAACAGTAAGAAATATAAAGCCAATGGAACCGAAGGCATGAGATAAGACAAGGAAAAGGAAATCTTGCTATATCTAGTTTACATTTCACTGTGCCTCTCCCTCCTTATCCTTGCAAACCATTCTTGCTTCCAATATGTCCATACAGGGCTTTATATATTGCTCTTTGTTCTTTAAACTATTATTCTTCAGTTTTTCAGGATCTCGTCTATTTCATTCAACCACAACTTTCTCAGACTTTCCCTTCCTTTGACCTATTCATTATTTCATAAATTTGTTTCACAATTTAGCTGTCATTCATTCTGTCTATATGACGAAGCCATCACAACATACTTATTTTGTACTTACCACTCATTTTGTGCTCAGTCCGAGTTCACTCACCAGCCTTCAGTTCTTGACCCTATCTTTTCTCATACGTGCTTCTTAAATAGATCATTCTGTCTGCATTTGGCTTTCTTCTGGTTCTCCTGATAACAAAATGGGTAGAAGCATATTCCTATTTAAAACCCTTTTTGCTTCTTTCAACAAAGATTCAACCCTTGCAACAGGCCACATATTCATTCCCTTTCTACTAACATTTTCTATCTTAACATTTCTCCATCCATTTTCTCATCTTTAATAACATTCTCCTGAAGTATCAGATTCAACCATTTGCTCTATTTTTTTCTTTTTCTTTTTGTCATTTCTGTGCAATTTGCAGCCATTCGCTCAGTTTTCGCTATCAGGCAACTGTTTTTGTACTTGAAATGTTCAGATCCATATTCCTTATTGCATCATACAATCTCTGACAGTCACTGTAAGAGTCCTCATGTTCTCAGCCAACCCGATGGCATTATCTACTTACAAAAGTACATGTACATTCATGTCTGTAACTAACATACCTGAAATGTCACCATGAGCATTTCTTATACTTTTATCATAAATATATTATATGACTAAGGGGAATTCACACCACCTTGTCTTATTCTATTCTTGTGCACACTTTACATCATATACAGCTCTTATTGTATTCAGCAACCAACTAACATTCAATATCTGATTCACACAAAATATTCCATAATTTTATGTCATGTTCCATATTTTATCATCAGCAAATGAATAAACTTCCTTTTTCACATTCATACTATTCAGCAGTGACTTGCTGAAGAGCAAAACTGTGGCCTGCCTAGCCCCTGCTTAGCAATGCTACACTTCCTTCCTGAAATTGTGTTCATTGTCACCTTTCATATCTTTTAACTAGAATTGGGCCAAACACCCTAACAGGCACACTTAATCAACTGATTTCCCTGTAGTTTTTGCATTGACTTTTGCTACCTTTCCCTTTGTATAGGGGAACATATACCTCATTCTTCCAAATGTCATGCGCAAATGTAGTCTTCACACACAGGTTAAACTCTTTTTTAAAAAAATGGGAAATGGCAAAGAACAAAAGCAAATAAGGACAAACCTGGAGTGATTTTTTTTAATCTAGTAAGACCCCTTAGATTCTTATGATAAAGATACATTTCAGATTCTATTTGACCACATGAAATTTTTCACTTTATTTTTTAGGGAAGTGTTACCTGTAGTTCAGTTAACCTGACTGATGTTCTTTCATGATAAAACCTCTGTTCTTTCATGGTCTTTCAACCAGGAAACTTCAAAGTTGGATTTCTGGCTTTTTAAAATGAGGTTTCAGCTGAATCTGGGCAAAGAACATGGCAAAGAATGTGTGTGATGCAAGCAACCAACTTTTCTGTGACTTTGATGGATTTTGAATTGCTCTACTTTTAACCACAGGTGACTGCAATATATGCCTGTGTTGTGTGTTTCTCTGGCAGATGTGGGGCTCTGCATGTAGGTGACCATATCCTTTCCATTGATGGGACTAGCACAGAGCATTGCTCCTTGTTGGAAGCCACCCAGCTAGTAGCAGCCACGTCAGAAAATGTCAAGTTAGAAATACTACCTGCTCACCACAGTAGACTTCCCCTCAAGCCTCTGGATACAGGTATGTGCCATGACTGAGCGTAAGATATGAAACACTTCTGTTTCTTTGGGGTACATGTATTTCTGGGTGAAAATACTGACCACCTTTCTGATTACACAGAAACATGTGAGATTAGGTGCAGTTTTGAAAAAAACAAAGACCATCTGGGAGGAGACAGGAACCTGGCCTTTTATTGATTCTTGTAGAAAGATGATTAATCTTTCAGTTTGGGAAATTAGTGTCTTCTAGAGTGAACCAATGATCATTGTGCCAAAATAATAGCAATGAAGAAAGGATTTATAATACTTCAAGTGATGGCTGAGTGATGTTATGAAGACACTATAAATCACTAGTGAAGGAAGGGCCAATCCCATTCCTGTCATGGACCAAGTTGATGATTAGATCAAACTCTAGTTACAACTTTAATTGCTTTGTTGTTTAGATGAATTTATTTTTAAAAAAGTAAAATTGATTCTACTAAAAGGTGCCCAAAATAATTAAACACTGAGGTGATGAGTCTTTTCATATATTTGTTACAAGGTATATGTTCAGCTTCTAAAAAAAAAATGCATGCTGTTTGTTTCAGAGCTGTTATGCTTATTCACATGTACATTTATGTAAATGTAATTAATTGATGGACACTAATATGATTAATATATCTAGATCTGTGATTTCCTTAATTGGGTCACTATCCTCAATCACAGTCCACTTGCTGCATTTGAAAAGGCACTGGGATCAAGACGCAAACTTATTTGGTGTATTTATTTGTTTGTTTAGCTTCTATGCCACCTCAGTCATTAAAACTCCAAATGGCTCATGGCAGTATATAAATAGTGTCAACACACTAGTCATAAAAACAATCATCATTCACCATCAATGTATAAAACTATGATTGTAAAAATTCATAATCCTCTAAACATAATTAAACACAGTGCTCTGTAAATCATCAGAACTTCTTCATCTCAAGTACCTCTTAAATAATGGCATTTTTAAAATGAGCTAGTAAGCCTGGCTTGTCAGCATTTTTAAAAATCTAACCTTCAAATGTATAGAGGAAAGAGTGGTTTTCTAGCTGCTTGTATTACAATGATCCATAACTCTGCATTAAAAGAACATTTTCCATAAGCAAATTTGGAGAAAAGGTCCAAATGAGAGATCACATATTTTTCAACACACTGTCTCATTCCTTTTGGCTTTTAACACTACACCTTCTTTCTAGAGTACTGAAACACTTCATGAGGGCTAGCTTGATGTTGTCTGTATTACATATGTTTGCAGACTTCTGGAAAGTGACTATAGAAGCTATTCTCAATGCAACCAGGAAAAATGACTAGGTTCTCTGGCAGAGGTTTCAGTCAGGGTTGAATTTTCCAGTCTTGCTTTGCAGCTGGTACTTGCAAAGGCTGTCTCTTCTAGTCATGAGTTTAACTCCAGGTCTTTTAACCTTGTGCAGTCTGATAACCATCCTTCATGGATGAGATAGTCTCTATAAATTTAATTTTCAGGTACAGTTTAAATGTTGGCAGCTCATGGAGTACTAGATATTGCGAAGGACTAGCTCTCTGACAAGGGACACTGCCATGACAAGTGGCTGTACTACATTCCTTTGACCTAAAAAAGTAATTTCCATGGATAATATCAGGAACTCCCATCCCCACCTTTGTAGACTGTCCATTGTACTTTTTAAGCCTCTGGGGGCAATCTGAATCAGCTCTTTGCAACTGGATTCTCTACAGTTTCATTTCTAGGTTTTTCATGAAGTATTAGATTATATGTTCACTGTCTAATCTACAATAAGAGACAAGAAATGAGAAGTATGAGCTCTTTAATTCAGTGGTGCTTACACTGACTTTATGTAAGCAACATAAGAGTGATGTGCCTTAAAGCCGGGTTCCTCAACCTTGGTGACTTGAAGATGGCTGGGGAATTCTGGGAGTTGAAGTCCACACATCTTCAAGTCGCCAAGGTTGAGGAACCCTGCCTTAAAGTGTCAAGAGGAAAGTTATTGCAGGCCCAACAAAGAGAAATATATTTCCTCAAAGGTGCTGATCGACTTGCCCTTTGGCCATCGTGGTTCCCTCGTCCTGTGGTTTTGAAAGTGCCAGAAAAATGAGCAGTGGCAGATTGAAAGTACAAGATGAGTAAGCTATAGGAGCCAATGTGCACATTTCTCAGTATCCTTGATCAGAGATTTGTATTCAAAGCACATCATGCCAAGCAATGAACATTACTCAGATATTCTGAAGATTTTCTTTCCTGTTTGTGTTCATTGTCCCTGGGGTGATTGGTGCTCTTGTTAGCAAAATTTGAGAGTTTCTGACTCTCCCCAATTAGGATCCAGTCCGGCAGAAGATTAGACACAAAAGTACCAGCTGAGATTTTAAAGTTTTATTGAAAGCTTGCCAATAGAGTCAGATGGGGTCTCCCCTTAAGTCAGAAGAACCCCAGTCACACCCAAAGAAGATAATTTTATACATGTTTCTTACAAAGAGATACAGCAATTAACAAATGATTGGCTGAAATTGGCATAAGTTTTGGAGCCTCCTTATTACTGGGGGAAACTTATCTTCCTGATGACCTATTGGTTGCTAGTCAGAGTTCAGGGGCACCCCCCTCTGATCTTCCA